TTACCTGTGGTCCAACTTACCGTTCTGGAGTTAGATTAGTATAGTCTGCGGCACGAGGCGCCGCGCACACCTTCAATTTACATGCGGAACAACCTGCTCCCAGCGGCTTTTTGAAGCAACTCCGACTAAATTTTTTCGCTTGACACTTACTGCTAAAATTTCCTTCTCTGCCTATCCTATTTCCCCATCCCACAAAACTCTATAACCACCGTTTTTGCAGGACAAAATGCTGAGACTAGGAGTATATGAGTGGGGCTACATAAACTACTTTTGTCTAAGATTGTTCCACAAACTCACAACCAATCACAGCCACTTGATGCAGGCTGTCGACCAGGAAACGTACAATATCCGTAAAATTAACCGATTACTGCCACCTTACAGAGAGGTCGAAAACTAACAGCGTGCTAAGAGTGAGAATACGTGTTGGTCCTAAGTTTCTACGTGGCCTGAATATCTTCTCAGTGAATAAATGGAGAAAAGTGCGGCACAAGCCAAGCAGACTATTCTTTAAAGTAGAATAGCATTACTGACAAAGCCAATTGGGGTTGGAAGGGCCAGTTCTGATTTATTAGTCGTCATCAGCCAGCCATAGCCAACCCTAGGGGTTGCAACGACCGGGATTTGAACCCGCGATCTATTGGTTGGAAGTCTACTGACCTAACCACTGAACCACGGTATCGTTGTCCTTATTCACATTCTAGCAAGTGCCGTATTGTCTACAAAGTACAAGTATTACTCGCTAAACGGGAAACACGTTACATTCATTCGACGACACCCGGCCACACATTCAAATTTGAGGAGGCCTAAGTTCTTGCGAGACATGACAAGCATGTGAGCAGCGAGCTGCCTGAGTCATGGTTCAGGGGCCTTCAGTGTATACGCAAGTGCAACGACTTGCCCGATCTATAGTCGGTGCTGAGGTTCGACTTACCCAAAACAAGTGGCCACTTGGGAACACAAGCGCCTGCGCGTCGCCTGACGCCAGCGCCCGGGAACCAGATTGTTGAGCAATCATCGCATCTAATTCCACCATATGAAACAAACGTTCAGCAGATCACAGCCCGCACACCGGCCATCAGGTAATTAGCGCACAAGCGGCAATCATTCTCGACAGAGGGGAGACGTTAATTTTTATAATTTTACAGTAACATAGTGACTGAATTCTATAAATACAGGTACTCCACTGCGCATGAATTACCCGTTTCTGCTAGTGTCTTCGTCTCTTATTGAGGAATCGCGACGGATTTCGAAACGCCAGGCGAATAAA